GTTTTAAAATTTTATCTAAATATTTTCTTACATTTCGACAATATGATAAACTCATTAGATTTGAAGATGATTAGGAAGTAACAAATAGTTTTTTTATTCGATTTCAATTAAGTTCTTTTAATTTTTGAGAAATTAATTGATTATTTTAAAATTATCATTTCTAATTTTGGATATATATGAAAATGAGTAGTTGATTATACCTTCAAATTTTTAAATTTTCTTTAAAAAATAATTAATTTTGTTATCAATAATTCAATAAAGTCTAAATAATAGTATGAATTTTATAAAGTATTTGACCGGAACAAAAAAGAAAAGAAAAAAAATGAAAATGAGTTTCAATTTGACATGGGGGTTTGGGAGATGAAGAAAAAAAAGAAAATAAAGGGATGAAAGTGGGAGGTGGAAAATTTAAGATATATCAAAATTAAAATTCAAAAAGAGAGAGAGAAATAATGAAATAAAAGATAAAGGAAAAATTGTAAATGAAAAAAATATATATTTTTAATCAACACGTGTCGTATAATGATTGGGGTGTGAACTCACTTGCTTGTTAAAATTTGGGACTGATCGAAAATGGTATAATAACATCTGTTCAAAATTGTTTTGTGAGGTAATAGGACAATAGCAACTTTATGAAAATCCGAAACAACTTCAATAGTGACTTTATGTTATCTGAAACAAAAATGTGGTAGTTTGATTATTATATCATTGCTCTAATATGGTTGCTCTTTGTAATTGTAGTTAAATTAAGTGTTTGTTCTTGTGCCTCACTTTCTAGTCGCAATTTTTTAATGACATGTTGGTAAAAAAACATATTAAAAATTAACACAAATACATTATATATTAAAAATTTGTTCAACTCACAAAATTTCACTTGTGCCACATAGAAAACAAATGGAGTAACATATATTATTTGAAAATTACATTAAGAGCATTATAAATCACAATAATTAATAATATAAAATTATACATATTAATAATTGGTTAACTCTCGAAATTTCACATATACAGCATAAACTGGGACAAAGAGATTAAAATATGTTATTTAAAAATTATTTTAGTAAAGAATATTATAAGTCACAATAATTAACAACTTAAAATATTTAAAAAGCATAATAAAAATTTGGTTGACTCTCAACGTTTAACATGTGTCGTATAAATTGGATTAAAGTAAGTAATGTTGAAGAAGAAGGAAACTGACGATTGAAATATATCAAAGGAATTGGTCCAACACTTGTTGTAGATAGGTCAATCAACTGTATTGTATCTGTTCCTTTGACATGTTTTAATCGTCAGTTTCCTTCTTCTTCAACACTTGCTGCAGACACATTAGTCAGTTGTGTTGGACCTGTTCCTTTAAAATGTTCCAACGTCAGTTTCCTTCTTCTTCAACACTTTTTCTATATGGTATCAGAGCTTAAAGCTCTTCCGCTCTCTGAGTATTGATTAAAAAAATCACATGTTGCAATGACCCCTTCTACCAAAAATCATGTCAAACTCCTTACTTTACCAGATAATTGTCGCTTGCTCCATTAAACTTAAGCCAATAAACTACCTCATAAAGAGGCACTCATATCCCAATTGATTCATATCACAGAGAATTAACCAAGTAAAAGTAATTGTTCCACTGGACAGACTACTGCGAAAGTTGTAGCGGCTAAGAAGGATGCAAAAGATAGTGAGATCATTAATGATTGGAAGGAGAAAGATGTGTTTCTAAAGAATTGGATTTCAAGCACCTTGACCAAAAAAAGCATGCACCTAGTTGTGGGTTGCTCAACTGCCAAGGAGATGTGGAAAATCTTTTTTAGAAATAATAATAATAATAACATATATTCAAGCAACAAAAGCAATTAATTTTGTTAGAAGCTTAGATAAGACACCATATCCCACCCTTAATCATTTTGTTAATACTCTCACATCCTTTGATATAAGGGAAGAGGAAGAAAAAGTGTCATAACAAAATCATAACTTGGTATTATATGTTCAAAAAGGCAGGGGAAGAGGAAACAACAACATCAACATACTGAAGCATTGGCAAAACAAGTTTTTTTATGGGTATTCAAAGTTTTTTTTTTTGCTTGATATTCAAAGCAAGCTAGGAGTAACCGTTCCTCTACTCACTAGCTTGAGGGAAAGTGTTAAAGAAGAAGGAAACTGACGATTGGAACATGTCAAAGGAACAGGTCCAACACAGTTGACTGACCTATCTATAACAAGTGTTGATGAAGAAGGAAGCTAAGGATTGTAATATGTCAAAGGAACAGGTCCAACGAAGCTGATTGGGGATTATAGCACTGCTGAAGAATTAGAGTAGCACTAGGATTAGACTATCTATATTAATTAGGATTATATTTCGTCTATAATTATATTATGATTAGTATTATATTACGACTAGGATTATTATTAGAGTTATAATACAATTAGAATTTAAATTATTTATAATTGCACTATTATTATTATTATATTAATTATAGGTATTGTAGTAGAACTCTAAGTATAGTTAACTTAGAACTCTACAATCTTATCATACATAAGGAGCTTCTAACTCAATATTATTTTCATCAATATTACCAATATTGATCAACATATCAATACTACCAATATTGATCAATATATCAATACAATTATTGATCTCTATAATCCTAGATGTGTGATTCCTACATAGAATTCTACAAGTAACATATATTATCTAAAAATTACATAAAAAGTACTGCAAATCGCATTAATTGACAACTTAAAATAATTAAAATAATATAAAAATTTATTAACTCTTTTAATTATATATGCCACATAATTGAAATAATATATATTAGGCATGAGCTCTTGTATCTAGTGATTATTATTATTACAAGTTACAAATTAGTATTGAAATTGATACATTTAGTTATTTATACGTAAGTGATCCTTGAGAGGAGTTTGTCTTTTTTTAACTAGTGAAGTAATTTTTTAAAATATTTTTTTCCACTTTTAGTTTACACTGACAATTGTGTTGTCGTAGTAAAAAAGTGGAACAAAAACTTGTTAGCATTGGTCTATCAGATGGTGATTTGCCCCATTTTATGGTCGGTAATTTAATTTTTGAGCTAATTTTTAGAAGATAAAAGGATAAATATAATTTTGAACTATTGTAAATATGAGAAGTGTATTTATTGATGACGAATATAGGATTTTAAGGTTATAGGTAATCTGAAAGTAACAAAACAAAAAATATAAAAAAGATATATGATAACAATGAGATTTGAATTCTGGCTCAACAAAACTAAAAAAATTTTAAGCACTCTTTATTCATTATATGTTTTATGTTAACTTTATACAAATACCACTTAATTTCTACATAGATATATGTATTTTATAACTAGGTTAATAGGTGCTCTAGCACCCGCTGAACTCCATGTGGATCCGTCCCTGATATTTGTACATCATTTACTATAGTTTAAAATTATATTTATTCTTTTCTCTTTTTAGAATGATGATTTATCTGCTTTTATGGGCTTGAACAATTTTTATTTGTGAGTTATTTGTTTATATGGAATAAAAATAAAGTTATTTTTTTTTGTTAAAACAATACTATGACTTCCTTAATGAAAGTTGGAAAACAAGTAGCATAAATGACATTTTAAGGAGTTGTTTGGTACAAAGATTAATAATTTAGAAAGTAATAATGCATGGATAAGTAATGCAGAGATCAATAGTATAGAGATTAGTAATGCAAGATTTATTTTTATCAAATGTTTGGTTCATTGTTTTCCACCTCATCTTGTTTTTAGATTAAAACTCTAAAAAAAAGCCTTCTTTTCAATTATACTTTGAATTATTATGTAATAGGTAGATATAATTGTTGGACAATATTATTTTTTTTATGTTCTTCTAACTAGCTGTGAGAAGAATATTTTATTGACATGGTTGCTACTTTTTGACTTGAATTGTCATCTTAATAAATTGATCACTCACAAAATGTCACTTTTCAATTTTGAAAAAGATAAACCATCTACTTTCAAAATCGAAAAGATGGTCAACAATGATAAAATTAAATAAACCAATTACATTTACACATAAAAACTGCAAGTTGTATATTAATATGTATGTAACTTTTTAAATTGTTCAAAATACAAATAATTAGAAAACCACACAAGTGTTTTATATATATATATATATATATATATATATATATATATAATAAATCAAGAAAATAAACAAAATAATTAGAATGATTTGACGGATATTTTGCTTTTACATAGACTTATCCCATGATATTATATCCTATGTTTTACTAATACCTTCAAATGGAGGTATTAATACATACATCCTATAATAATATCATGTAGAAAGTATAAATAATCCATGGATTAGTTATACTTATGCTCAAATTCCTACCAAACATAGTACTAAATAACACCTTACATAATACTGTTTTTTCTAATACGGCCTACCAAACGATTTCAAAATTTATTGTCTCCAACTCATTCAATCCTCACCACTTGTCCATCCTACCTCCCGCCATTCCCAAACCTCCGCAGGCTCCACTTGATTTTACTGTATAACTTGTAAATGTTCTTAATATAATATTTTCTTGCTTACTTATCAAACGGTAAAATATAAGTTAAGAACTTAGTGTCTCTTTATTAAATTTTCCTCGCATCAAAATACAATCTTATAGTACCACAAAAGGAAGCGACACAAATTCAACTTACAACTATAATTAATAAATTAATGCGTAATATGTTAATTACACACCTACTAGGCTACTATTTCTTTAATTCATTATGATAAGTAAATATAGATGTTCAAAATTATTTTGTTAGCGAACAAGTTAAAATTCTCTATTCCATGATACTTTTCGTAACGTATTAAAACATCTTCTTTTTTTTTCAAATACAAGTTAAAATTCTCTTTTCTAAAGATTAATTTTGGTAAGGATCTTAAAAAATCCCCTTTCTCGAAAGAAAATGCAAATAATAGTTAAATACTTATTAATATTTAGAAGATGGGATCTATCATATCATAATTTTCCATATATTATATATGACTAAATCTTTGCTTGATTTTAACTAAATAAATAAAATATGAAAATCTTAGAAAATCACTCCTAAATATCACTTCGTAATTAATACCTTAATTAGCACTAATCTTTACGAAATGTTTTATTCTCTAATTACCATTTTTTCCTCATAATTGACTGTTCATTGCAAGGTTAGTTTCTCTAATTTTCTTTACGAGTTTGGTCTCCATTTACTCTAATATATATGTAAATCATTATCAATTGGTATTTAGTTTGCAGAAAATAATATTAACCGTGTACAAAATGATTAATTACTACGATTTTTTCTCTATTTTTTGGTTTATTACAAAATTTTTGGTTATAACTTTGGTCTTAATTATTTAATCTTCTTTTATATTTGTCAGTTGTTTCCACGTTCAAGTGATTGTCATGGAGCCCTTTGCAGATGTGGTAAGTAATTAAAACAAAAACCTATGTTTGATACTTTTATTGGAATCTGACTAATTCAAAAGGATAAAGTGTTTTCTGTAAAACGACTTCATACTCAAATTTTAAATTTGAAATATATAATTAAAAATTAAAGGAGTAATCGTCTATTCACCACGATCTTTGTTTTCTTAAACATTTCCATTAACCCTAGGATTCGTTTCGAATTATAGATTTTTGTACAATTAATGTTAGTGTAATTTAATTTTTTTAAGTTTTTCTTTTTTGTAGAGTTGCATATTGAAAGTGGATGTTCATTGCGATGCATGCAAGATGAAGATGGTGGAAGTGTTAAGCTCCGTATGCGGTAATACTATCCTCAATAGGAACGAAATATTAATTGCAAGTTGACTCGAACATTATAATTATAAAAAAATGAAATTTAATATTTTTGTCATTAGCATTTAATATTGAGAGTTGAATTGTCTTTTCTTATAACTAGTAAAATATCTTCTTTTTTTTTATTGGCGTGTGTGTAGGTGTGTATGCATTGACAATAAATGCAGAAAAAGGGGAAGTAAATGTATGTGGAGAAGTTGATCCCAACTTATTAGTGAAGGCACTAAAAGGAACAGGAAAACATGCAGAAATAGTACATATAAAGCTTAAGCATCCTTCTCTTATTACTCCCACAGCACATTATCGTCCTTACAGTGGTTATGGCCATGGTTACCATGGCCTTGGCTACGGTTACGGCCATGGCCACGGCTATGGTTATAGTCGTGGCCATGACTACTATAACACAATGCCAATGAGTCCATACAATTATTCAATGAGAAGATCCATGACGATGGAGCAACCTCACTACTATGGTCATCATGCTTCTTCATATCCTAGGTATTACGTCATCTTAATGCTCTATATAATCTAGATATATACTATGAAAATGTTATATAAGGTGGTTGTTAGGATGAGAGTATGATTAGAGACGCGATTTGAACTTTATGGTTTGTAAAGTCTAGAGGATGTGATTGGTAATTATTTCTAAATTTAGCTTATGTACATATTTAATGAATTTTTTAATATAAATTAAAAAAAACTTGAATTAAAGTTACTGAGTTTGGTCTAACCTATATATAAACTTGTAGCTCTGTCCGTGAGTGTGGCAGTACGTACAGGGTATTAGGGATAGGGGTTTTGTCACATGGGGTGAATAGTGGAGGGGTGAAATTATCATTTTTTTTTGTAGTTGTGAAATTTAGTATGTTTGGGGAATCATTTTATAAACTTCAATTTATTCTCTTGCTAGAATGGTACAACACCAACTTCTACACAAATTATACATTTTTTGACTGAAAATGCTTGTGTTGTTTGCAGGTATCGGCCATTTTACTATTAATTATTTTATCAAGGAATATGCTGAAATGAATTATGGAACGCTATGCTTTAATGTTGATTTAACTAGCCAGAGTTTTGTGAGCCAAAAAGCTTGAATTACAATATTTCGAGAGTAATGATAAGATTGTGATCAATATTAATTAAGGGTAAAGGATATTTTTATAGCCTATCCCAAATAACATTTTACAGTATGATTCACGATCCGTATTTTCCTATTATGTTTAATTACGTTTGTAACTAAGATTCTTTAAGAAGAGTAACACCTTGGACTTGTCTTGACCAACCATTGTCTCGCCGTTTCTCTTTATCTTGACGAGCGTAGACTAAAGTTTATTAATTTTTCCAACGTATGTCCTCTGGTTCTTCGTACAAACGTTCAAATACTATTATTTTTAATATAAATTACATAATTCTCATAGTTTAAAATTTAAATTACATCATATCTCTATTTTTTTTTATTTTATAAAAATTCCTTAAAAAATTATAGCATTCCCATACATTATATTCAATCGGATACATAATATTTGATACATAAAAACAAATTGGTTGTTGAGCTTAAAAAAGAGTTTAAACATAAAATTGATTATCAGCCTCATAAATCACACCAGATCCCACAAATCACGCAAAATCTATTTATAGATCTAACAGATTCAGAGAATTCAAAATTCAAATTTTCTTCTCCTCCATTTATCCCAAATCATAACAAATCTAAAATAGACGACCACCGTTGCTAATACATTACGAATATATTGATTTTGTTTTGATATTCAAAAATTTGAGTGAGCTCTGAGTTATGAACGATACAATAGTGATGAAATAATTGTTGGACAAACAATTTCTTTTGTGAATCTCATATCCACCATTACAATTAAATTTAATCTCAAATTTGGCATTGATACAACAGACAAGATGACTGGAGAGATGCATTTCTTTGATGCTACATCCGGTGCAATTGTTTGTGTCGAAGTTGGGGTAAACGACGCCTAAAATATTTTTATATCTTAATTGGATAATAGATACATTAAAAATCTATTCTCTTCTTTTGATATTATCTATATCCATAAGTTGCAGGTTTATCAATTTAATATAATCAGTAGAAATTTTATGCGCGCAACTTATTTGATATATATTATCACAGTTGAGTGAGTTGAACTTGGTGTTGTGGTGGCTATTCATCTTTTTGTAGTGTTTGTCTTGTATTGTTTGAAAAATGAATCTGCAATCGTGATAATTCAATGCTTCAAGTATTTAAGTAAGTATATTATCTTGTTTTTAATTTGTTAGTTAGTTTTTATTTTTATTTTTGATACATAAGTCATGATACATATTATTCTCGGAAGAAGATGCATTGTTAGCCTTGAGCGAAAAATATGTAATTATGGGAGAATTCAATTAGACGAAGTACCCGTGCACACACGATTCTTCTTTGATACATGTGAAATTCCAACTAGACGGAATACCTTGTGCCATAATACATTGCTGACTACAAAATAAATACCATTTTTGCTTGATACATGTGAATTATTGAATAGAACTTGATACAATTATAGTGAGTGTGTACTTCATTTCATGTATCATGCACATGTGATTTTCTAAATTTAAATGTATCCATAATTGAATTACTTTCAATCTTTAATATATTCATTGTTCTCTTTAACCATTGGATTTAAAAAAAAAACTGTATATTGATATATAAGAAATGACACATTAATGGTTAGAGATTGATACATAACTAATTAGACTCACATGTAATGCATGGATTTGCATATTTGTGGGTTATTTTGTTGTTTATATAACGTATCAGATACATGTGAAAAATCTTTTTTTGATTTTTCAATTTGTAAACGGTACATATATCAAAATTTTACATTAATGAAAACAAAAATGATACATTATAGGTTTGTACATGTGAATTACTGAACACAATTTCATACCGTTAGAGTGAGTATGGTGTGAATTTATATTTTTTTAAAATTATCAGTATGTGGATTTCTTTATTTTTTAATGTATCAACAATAAAGAGAATACATTTTTAGTATATCTACTATTCAATTTAGCATACATATCAAATTTTTCTTTTCTCTGTTTTTTACCTTTTATAATATATCTATTAGAACTACTACCATGTATTAATGTGTTTATTGTACGATTGTTTGTGAAAATTGAAGGACTTTGCTAGAAAAAAAAGTTACATATATACATCTCTACTGCTTTGATTACTACAAATTAGGTGCATTACCTAACACATATAAAGTTCCAATGGTTTCAATGTCAGGTAAGGACGACTGATCAATTTCAAAATTTGCTTTGAAAGAAATTGTCTTACAACCTAGGTATACAAAGGGATGCCTGAACGAACAAGGAAACGAAGGAACGATGTAGACCAGAAGGTAATAATCAAAGATCTTGTACTTTTTACGAAAGATGATTGATAAAATATTTTTTGGATTACTTTTATGTTTCGGATACATTATGTGAATTTCTTTATTTTTTTAATGTATCAACAATGAAGAGAATACATTTTTAATGTATGTACTATATAATTTAGCATGTATATTTTATTTTCTTCTCTGTTTTTAATAATAATATATGAAACAAGAACTTTTATAATGTATCTATTAGAACTACAACTATGTATTAGTGTGTTTATCGGATGATTGTTCATGAAAATTGAAGGGCTCTGTTAGGAAAAAAAGTTACAGATATACATCCCTACTGCTCTGATTACTACAAATTAGGTGCATAAGCAAACACATAAAGTTCCAATGGTTTCAATATCAGATAAGAAGAGTGATCAATTTCGAAATTTGCTTTGAAAGAAATAGTCTTACAACCTCGGTATAGAAAGAGATGTCTGAACGATCAAGGAAATGGACGTTGTGGACAAGAAGGTCATGATCGAAGATCTTGTACTTTTTTTAAAAAGATGGTTGATAAAATATTTTTTGAATTATTATTATGTTTCGAATACATTAAGTTAACATTAAAGTTTCATTCAATTTTAAAAAATTTCATTGTTATATTGATATACACTGCAAATCATTATCAGATGCTAAATTTTTGATATAATAAATTGACATGTTAATATTTTCAACATTGTGTACATTTTTTAGTGAACATAATACATATTAAACATGACACAAGATATTTATATCATATGTTTATTTAACTAGATATAACGAATTTGAGTATATATGCTAGAATATATTTTTTTACTGATACACAATTGAAAGACCCTCAACGAACATAACACACAATGTTTTGTATCATATACTTATTAAAACTAAACATAATGTATCTAAAATATGTTAAATAATATAATTTTTGACTGATACAACATTTACTCTGATATTCATTGAACATGCCCCAAAATGTTTGTATAATATATATATATATATATATATATAATACAACAGTGGTTAGAGTCTGATACAACATTAATGGTATCTTATACTCATCCAAATTTCAAAAGCTAATATATACAAGTTATATGATACATTACTGAGAACATTACATGCAAGAGTTTAGTTGAACTTCGTTATCTGCTACAATCTAACCATCTATTCACTACTATGCTGAAATTAGATTTTTGATGTATCAATCATTTACAAATCGAGTAGTATCCAACAGAATATTAGAACACTATGTTGTAAAACAATGTATCATTTTTGCTCCGGATAACTGATATACCAAAGAACATGCAAATTAATGTATCAAATTGTTCTGATCCAACATAACAAATATCATAACAAACATAATTTATTTTTTGAAAAATACGAAACACACATGTAGGACAGCGAAGGCCTATAGATTGACAGTGTTGTTTCCCTTTTATTTGTTTTTTTGAGGTTTTTCTTTTACAACACTTGGTTTTGAGGATGATGGTGCTTCCTTGTTCGACTTGAAAACACTTTGATTCTTCTTCACTGCTGGTGGGTCGTGCAAAATCTTGAATATGTTTTCAGCTCATTTGCCCATATATTCGATTAGTATTAGAAGAAATTGATTGAGTAACCCTAATACTATACAAAACACCCTTATCCATATGTATCAGGAACATAACTTTGAACAAAACGAATAAATCAACAATTCGAGAAGACAATTCCTACCTATGTAGTTATTTAAATTTGATTGATTAGAGAGAGAATTATTTTGAAATCAATTTAATAACTACTAACAATATGGAGAGAATTAAGAGAGAAAATAAAAAAATTAAAAAAAGTGGCCAAAAGTGGGTTTCACTTATGTATACGGAAGTTTTAAGAATTGAAATAAAAAAAAGGAATTTTTAAAATATTAAAAAATATAGGAAAAAATGGAGAATAGGAAAACTTAAGTTGTTTATATAAACAATATTATGAATAACATATATATATAATGTTTAGACCTTATTAACGAAACATAGTATACGTCATATTAAATTTTAAGCCTAACAAATTTTTTATCAAATGTGGTAAAACTAATACAATATTTTAATTTTTATGTATAATCAAATGACCACTTAATGAATTGAATCTGAAGGATTAAAAAAAAATAAATAAGCATAAATATAAAATAGACTAAAAGAAAATCCAAAATAAATAATTTTTATCATTGTTGGGACAAAATTGTACCTTCTTCCATTATCCAGGGACCTGCAAATTGCAATTGCATACTCAATTTAGTACCTCGCAAAAATAAATAAATATAATTTCTCTTTTCATGCCCATTTTTCACTTTCTGTGATTCGACTTTCAGTTTCAGCGGATTTGATTCTATGGAATTCGAACCCTCAAAAGTTCCTATACAACCCCTCTCCACTTTACGGTAATTGCAACTGCAATAGGGACACTAGCTTTTTACTTCAATGGGGTTTTTGTTTTTTCTTATTAATTTGTTCTTATATGTTAAAAATCCATTTTCCAAAAGTCTAAACCCTGTTATTGCGATAGTAACAAGTCAAAAAACAATTTCTTCTTTTTGTCCTTTTCCCTAGATGCTTTCGCAATTATACTTCGAATTTTGTCATTATTTTTTTATTTTACGAGTGTGGAGTTTGGGTCAGCTTTTTTTTTTACGTCTGGACTATATATGTGGAAAGAATTACCTAGTGCTATTGTATGTGTGCTGAGATTTGAACTTGAGACGTCGTGTTCTTGACCATTAGTCACACACTTGGGTGCTTACTTTTTGTTGGTATTTATTTGTGGATGGAAGGAGTAAAGACATAATCTTGTATAAGATTTTGATTTTTATTTGCCTGAATGTGTTTGCTTATGTTCTGTATGTGATGTCAGGCACAAATGTTCTGCTTGTTTCAAGCAGTATAAGAAGAAGGAACATCTCATTGAACATATAAAAACGTCTTATCATTCGGTTCATGACCCTAAATGTGGTGTTTGTAACAAGCATTGCAAATCGTTTGAATCACTAAGGGAGCACGTTGCTGGTCAGTTATTGTGCTTAGACTATGAATGTTCTTTAGGTGTAAATTCTCTCTAATCTTTCTTTTCATTTAACATTTAGGTCCATTGTCCAAAGTGAATTGTTCAAGCATCTTTGCAGAAAGAGGCTGCATTTTGTGTCTGAAAATCTGCAGCAGCGTGGACTCTCTCAATGAGCATAAGGAAATATGTCATCTAACCACTCCTCGACCCATTGTGAGTTGATGAATTTTCTCTCTGGATGCATTCTCAAGAATCAGTCATTCAGTTGCACTTAGATACTCTAGATGTATGTTTAGTTGCTGGAATGTGTATGTATAATTGTTGTAGGATACAATTGAGATGCTTTATTCCGAAGACGGAGTGGATATAAGCAATGGAATTAGCAGCATAAGAAGTCGGGAAGCAGTTGCCATAGATTGTGAAATGGTTGGAGGGGGAAGTGATTGTTCACTAGACCTTTGTGCAAGGGTATGCCTAGTTGACGAAGATGAGAAGCTTATTTTTCACACTTTTGTTCTACCTCAGATTCCTGTGACTGATTATAGGTATCTGCTGGCAAATAAACATAGCTATTTATTGTATCAGATGACATTTTTAGCGTGACACCTTTTCACACTTCCTCATCATTTTGTGCCAGGTATGAAATTACTGGTATGACAGAGGTAAATCTACGAGATGCCATGCCTCTGAATGAAGTCCGGGAGAGAATTTTGCAGATTCTTCACAATGGAGAGTCAATTAGTAGAGTAAGATTGGATGGTGGAAGAGCAAAATTACTTGTTGGCCATAACCTTGAGAAGCACCTGGATTGCCTGAAAATGAATTATCCTGATCATCTTTGGAGGTAAGTTTATGTTGTTTTTTCCTTTCTAATAAATGAAAGTCATTTTCTTGGAACCTTGAATCCTGTTTATACCAGACATGGTCCTGATCTGTATTAGGTGTATTACACCATTCACTGCCATACATTAACATGGATGGTTTGTTTATCCATAATTTGACATAACATGCTTCTTTAAGAGCACAAAAATAGTTAAGGTGTGTGCAATCTGGCCTAAACATTGCCGTTCTTAAAAAGAAAAGAAAAAGAAAAAGGGAGTAGCTTATAATTGACTATTGTTGTCGGTGGAAAATTAATGCTTAAGGTAAAGTAGATTTGTTCTTGATATGGACCTATTAACTCGCTTAATCAGGTACTGATGTCAAGAAGCCTAGTATTTTTTCCAAGGCCCTTGCTGCATGTTTTTTATTTGCCCACTTAGGTAAGGTGTAAAGTGGCTCTCTTTGTGTAATTTCCACCCCCTTAGGTTTTTCTTGATGTTCCACTTAATGCTGGTGCATTAATCCTTCTACTTGCTGGGATCATCCAAATATATACTCCACCTCAAGTACCATTATATCCCCCATACCACCCCCCACCCAAGAAGATAAATTCTGACTCCTACAGGAACTGGTTTTGAACTCCCTCATCATCAAAAGTTAGAATATCTATACAGATAAAATAAAGTTTTGCAGAATTTGGTTATATCATGATTTCAGTATAAGCAATTATGTCCAGCACCATCCATTATAATCCTTCTGGCATAATCCATTTTTCCGTAAAATGATTTTCTCGAGCCGAGGTCTATCGGAAACAATCTCTCTACCTTAGAAGCATAGGGGTAAGGTCTGTGTACATGTCCCTCCCTACACTTCACTTGTGAGAATCTTCTGGATGTTGTAATCATTCAGAACTGCTGAATTGCTATGCATCAGTATCAATGATAGCTTTTGTTTCACTTATATGTGTGGTGAAACCTGTAAAAACAAATTCAAGAAATTTGGATCTATTAAAATATGTGTATATTGTTAAAATTCAAGGTCGGTACCTAATAAATGTGTTAGCTTAAAAGTGAAGGTTAGAACTTCATAAGCTTGTCCATTTAAGTCTACCCACGATGCCTTGATTTCCTTCCATCCATGAGAGAATATGTGGTCGTCACGGAAAGTTGATCAGAGAGCTTGTGCTGACTTTTCTTGTACTCCATTTTGACAAATTCGAACAGAAGAGATGAAGATAAAAGTAACAATTATCATATCAATTATTCACGTTCTCTGTATTTGTCTGTCAAGTTGGGTATATGGGAAAATGATTTCAATATGCCTTGAAGATATTTTCTGCACGAGATGCATCCCCCTATCCTTGGCCTGAAATACTCATGTTTTGCTTTCATTCTATGCAGAGATACTGCAACATATCGACCCCTGATGAAGACCAATTTTGTCAGCCACTCTCTGAAATATCTAACCAAGACTTATCTAGGGCAAGTAACTTGCTCACTCTCATGTTTCTCATTTAGTTTTATTTTATCTTCGTATTTTTGTTGGTCAAGTTTGTCCATTATATTCCCATTGTTTGTTTAACTTTGATATCCCCCTGCTAATGAAGAAAATGTTCAGTCGCTGTTGGTTTCTTGTTTACATGGAGCTTGAACGAGGCAATTCAGGCCCTCTTCCGTGCTATGCTAACTGAAACTTTTGGCCCGAAACAGATATGATATCCAAGTTGGTTCCCATGATCCTTACCAAGATTCAGTGTCTGTCATGCGGTTGTATAAGAAGATCCGCTCACAAGACCACCCAATGGAAGGGACTATTAGGGCATCAAATTCACCGGCTCTAAGCTTTAGCAGTAGCTCTGATCCATGGAAATCCATGGCACACGAGAACATGACGCCTAATGAGCTGTTAGAGATATCAAGATCCAACTATAAGTGTTGGTGTCTTGATTCTTGGGATGCAGCGCAGAGGTGAGTGATGGTGATGCTCTTGCCTGAAGAGAAGTTGGCTATCTACACATTTTATTTCTACTTGCTAATATAGAAGTATTTCTTCTTATTATTAAAAAAAGAAGAAGCAGATTCCTCTGCTTTTTAGTCACATTAGTCACCCTTGTATGTTAAGTCGAAAAGGAGAGTTTTATTGCATATATATATATATATATAGCAAATAATGCAAATGAAAACAAGAGTCATGTTTAGCATGGATGTCAAATGTACCAAAATGTTTTTCGATCTTTTAAGTTGAACATGTGAAAAAAGTTGAAACTAAATAGTTGTCAAAAATAGAAAAGAGATTTTTAAAAAAAATAATTTTAAAATAGGAGAACAATTGAAAGAGAGGTGAAATATTTCTAACGGTGTGAGGTTTTTTAAATTTTAACTTTGGGAGTCCCACTTTCAAAGGGATATTTAGGTAATTTAACTTTTCACTCTACAAGTTCCTTGATTTAAAAATACTAGTTCTCGATACACGCCTTGCATGTTTGACCTTTGTTACTGTTATAATTTATGTAGGTCCAACTGTTGTGGATATAAAATTGCTCAACATTGTCTAAAGTACTCCTATATGTGTTTTTGTGCATATAATATTAACTCTTTTTAGTGTTTATTTTCTGTCTAAAATTTAAATATCAATAATTTTTTTGGGAGATAATGAGCAACTTGTATGGTTAAATCAATATTTTACCAATTAGAATTATCACTCAAAAATTCTAAGCCCAAAAGCTTAAATTTCTTGGGACATAAATACTCCAACTATCGTTAAAATAGAAAGATGAATGAAGGACACAAACCAATAAAAGAAATAGTAATCAATAAAAAAATATAACATGAGAACTATCAGAAGTCTCAAACAATCATTAAAACAAAAAATGACAAAGGCACAAATCAGTAAGAAAAATAGTGAGCAACAAAAAAAATATATACATAAGAACTATTAGATGATGAAACACAAAGTGCAGTGGGTTAATAATTTTTATCCAATTTATAAAGGGAGAAATTAAGTACATGAAAGGTTGTGAATAAATGTGTTTAATGGTAGAAGCTAAAAGGTTTAACAATCAAATTCATTAAGAAATGAAAAATAAGAAGTTGTAACATCCAATCATGTATTTGGTCAAGTTTAATTGTCATTATTGATTTAATTTTAAAAATTAGTAAAAGATTTTTTAATTTAAAAAATTGATGAAGGGCATTTTCAAAATCTAATTTTGAACTAAAATCTTCCCACTTGTAATAATGTATGATTAGTCCTGGACAAGTGCCTTGCACGTGTAATCCAATTTTATTGACCTCAAAATTTTAAAAAATTACACAAATATTAGTATTAAGAAATAGGAAGAAGAAAAGAGAATAGTAGACTATAGGAAAGAAAAGAATATGATGATATAGGGAGCAATCTACTCGTTTTATAGTGATATTTGACTGTCTTTTCACTTATAAAAAAATTATTAATGGAGCACATTGAATCATGATAGATAAATTTTATTTTAGAGTTACTGAATTGAAAGAGTTGCATACATTATTTTGTCTTCTACTCTTAATTGAATTTAACCTAATCAATTATAATCACAAGGTAAAAATATGAAAAGGAATATCATGATCTTTACTGCTTACATGAATAATAGATAACCAAGATAGCTATGGAAAACTATATGCACAGCGAAAGCATATCATGATCTTTACTGCTTTCATGAATAATAGATAACAAATACCGTTTATTCTAAAACACATATAATATGCTAGAACATATTACTTACTATATAGAAGAGCCATCACATGGACGACCAAGGGCATAATAGTAATTTTACATTAATAACAAATGGACAAATTTCTTTTCCAAAAGCAAGAAGGGCAAGTCTGTAATTTTACATTAAAAATGGACAACTTTCAATTTCAATAGCAAATGTTTGTAGATCAATGGGGCGTTCCATTTTCATCATTGCTGTTTTTGTCATGCTTTTCTTCTCTGTTTCTCATGGTAACTGTATTTTTTTTATAATTGGCCTCTTTTCATTTTAATTACTCACCAATTGTTTTGATTTATGAATTGTGTATGTGTAGGTGTAGGAACCAACAGAAAAATGGTGGGTTCTTTTTCACATGGAGACATCCGTGGAGTTCTACACCAGGTCGGTTTCTTTTTCTTCTAATTTAAACTTGCATCTTTAGTCTCTCAAAAATTGACTATTTCTGTTAGATGTATGTATATGTACAACAAGTGTTAATAATTTTTTTCCTTTCTATATTAATATTTAAATTTAAAATATAAATTTTTAATTTCTTATTTGTTCATTCATGGTGTGAATCTCATAAATCTATAACCAAAAGAAATATGAATAATAATTTATAATTATAATTAGTATAATAAATTAAAAAAATTATGAAACATAGATATGTATATGTACAAGAAGTGTTTATAATTTTATTTTCTTTCTAGGGTTCTTTTTCACATGGAGACAGACACCCGTGGAGTTCTACACCAGGTCGGTTTCTTCTTCTTCTAATTTAAACTTGCATCTTCAGTCTCTCAAAAATTGACTATTTCTGTTAGATGTATGTATATGTACAAGAAGTGTTTATAATTGTTTTCCTTTCTAGATTAATATTTAAATTTAAAATAAAAAATTTTAATTTCTTATTTGTTCATTTTTTTTGTCTGAATCTCAAAAATCTCTAACCAAAAAAAATATGAATAATAATTTATAATTATAATTAGTATAATAAATTAAAAAATTATGAAACAAAGATATGTATATGTACAAGAAGTGTTTACAATTTCTTTTTCTTTCTAGATTAATGTTTATTTAATTACTCATGAATTGTTTTGATTTATGAATTGTGTATGTGTAGGTGTAGGAACCGGCAGAAAAATGGTGGGTTCTTTTTCACATGGAGACACCCGTGGAGTTTTACACCAGGTCTGGAAAAATTGAAATTCCTCATTCTCTCATTAAAAAAATGTGAATAATAATTTATAATTATAATTATTATATATGCACAATAACAAATGGAGTGGTGTAGCTCCTGCATTTAGGCTTTAGTGATGTAGCTTCTGCTTTTTAGACTTTTAGTAGTAGTGTAGGCTACTATTTTCACTTTTTAGGTTTTTAGCAAAGACTTTTTTTCCATTTTTTACCTATT